TTTTCATATTTCAACATCTATAATAACAGAATAATAGACAAGATAAAAAATGTTCGCCGGAAAAAATCCGCACCCCTACCGTCATAATCACCATTTAATTTTATTCCATTTTCCAATTTTTCCACCTAATCCTTTGGGTCCATTCGACACAGAAATTAGAATTCTTCACAATGATGGTCAATTTTAACTTCAAGGGGGAATATAAAAACGAACAGGCCGAAAATAAACATTAATATTAAGCCGTTTTCCTTCAATTGAACATTGTTACAAAAGCAGAATATTTCTTGTTCTTAAAAAAACCAACGCTTTTTAAAAATGAAAAAATCACATTGGTTTTACTAATGTTAACCTCCCTTTGTAAAATGGCCCTGCATTTATTTTTCACCCAGTAAACGGGGTGAAAATATTATCGAGTACCATCGTTTAAATATTTCTTTTGAAAAAGGGTTTACATAGAAAATATTTGATGCGAAGTATAGATAATAATTATTGTTCAAAGCTGAAGTTTAAGCGATTATGGATGGATACGTGTACCGTTTAACTGCTGTACTTGGCGATCGGAGAATAGTACACGCCGTTGTTGTTGTTGTTGTTAGTTGCGGTGCGCATGCGTGCTTCACTGGTTCTAGTTTTTCAGCGTGTCTTGTCACACTTTAGGGAACCAGACAACATCGGAATACGTCGTAATAACAAAAAACGACCCCCATGGACCATATAGACCCAACAAGTGGAGTTTTACATTACCTTTTTATTTACAACGCAAATTTGGATAAAATCCAATCTAGATGATTTATTATTAGTGGGTCGAAAATTGTTGGGTTCTGGACCCATTAATCGACTTGAAGACCCAATAATCGACTTAAGACCCACTTGTAAGGTCTAATTAAGCTGAAAAAGACCCAACATCTTTACCAAGTTTAAACTATATATATATATATATATATTATATATATATATATATATATATATATATATATATATATGAAATCAACAGCAAACGTTGCAAAACCAGTATACTCAAAATGTTTGTACAATATTGCGGGCGTCCTGCCATCACGTGATTTAAATGCTACTCTTTGATTCGATATCTTGGATTAAGAACACTGTGTTTTTAAAATGTAATACGGTCAAATACACTTAGAACAGTCTGTTGCATATGCCCCACAGGTCATGTGACATGTATCGATGATATGTATGGTCAAATAAGTTAGAACAGTCTATCTTGCAAAACGGACAAGTGTGGAGATAGAACAGGATGGTTTTGTTGTGATTTATTTATGAAGCTTTGTAACACTAAATTATAACATGCTAAGGAGATAGAACATCCCATTACGGACCAAATTATGTGTTTAACTTTTTTTGAAAATTTGGAGATAGAACATTACAGTTTTCAAGCGACGAAATATAACATAGTGCATTTTGTGATTCTACAATATTTGAAATAAGAAAATAGTCGTCAGCGGTGTTAGTTCATTGTGCAAGTTATAACACCATTATTATTCATTAATTTTGACAAAACGAAAGTCTTAAAGAACTGATGAAATTAACTTGTGTTGACTTCCAGAAACGAAGATGAATGTATTTTTTTCTTTTTGCTTTTTAATGGTGGCATATTTCTGCCAACAGTTAACCACATAATTTCTCTCGAACAATCCGACTAACTAAAAATTAACCTAGTTATACAGATAATTATCTGATACTTATCTCAAATAATTATCTATTATTTAACTGGTAAGTGTTGGCAGTTCTGGGCACGTTTAAGTGTTTTTGGAAGTTAGATTTTGTTCGTAATAGCATTGTTTCTTATGCTTTGTACGCACATTACATGTAGTAAAGACTATAAGATGAAATGTGTCAATTCATTTGATATATATGAACAATCATGCTTTTACTGTTAACTCTAATTATTATTTCTAGAATCTAAGAAGCACGTTTTATGTTTTTATATTGCTTACAATTTCAGTTCAATTGTATAAGAATATGTATTTCTTGACAATGAACTTGTTCTGATATTTGTACTTGTTCAGTTGATACCGCTAGTATTTGTTTGAATTCACTGTTCTTGCAATGACTACGTTCGATAGTTTTTTTAACTTGGATACATTTAAAAGATATAAAACACTCAGACGGTTTCAATAATGATAGTCTTGCTGATAGGTCATTGTTTATTAAAAAGACAGAAATCATCACAAATTAGTATTCACTATGTATTTCTAATTTTTAATAACCATTGTCCTTCATGCACGAAAGAAAACTATACCTGTAAATGATACATTAATGATTATCAGAACAATTGTTCCGAACTGTTACAGAAAAGATAATATAACCGTTGTATAGCAAAATCAATTGATAAAATTCCTTTCCTACAGACGTTCCGCTTTCATGGGAAATCCAAGGCACTCTTACTCTACAACATATATTTGCTTACATAATGACATGGTTTGTACGTTTTTTAAAGCCACTGGCCTCTAGATTGTAAAATGAAAGATAATCGAGTCGTCCATTTTTTATTACACGGTTTATAAGTCTATACTGAACCGTCACGTGATGATTACGACCAGAGTTGTCACAATGCATCTAACCATAGAGCCATGTGCCTGTCCCATATCGGTATATAGCCACTTCCTCCTACTGCACGTCTCAGTCGAGTCATTACACGAGCACTTTTGCGGAATGAGTCCTGTTTCACTGCTGTCACAGTGGAAGAACTGTTTAATGACCCCTCAATTTCCGTTCACAAACGATTTGTACACATCAATAAGAGTCGCGTTGGTCGACGTAAATATCGCACGGAGTTTATCATTAAGATGCGCGACATATACGTCAGATCTTGGACAAATTGTACAAAGGTATACACGGATGTCTTGTTCCTGGAGACGTTTTACAGCTTCTAGAATATCATCACAAGTTGTGGAAAATAGAGTTTTAGAAGAGACGTCATTTCCGCCTACATGAATCACGACGTTTTTGTATTCATCAGTATTCCAGTTATGGAACCGTTTTAACGCGTCACTGACTACTGCTCCGGGGATGCACGCAGTTCTTATATCTGAACGGAGACCTTTCTCTTTATTCCTTTAAGTATTGGGTCTTTAAGAATGACTATGTCGCGTTTTTGTTTGTAGGGAATCTTGGCATATGTAGACGTTTTCGGGAGTTCTGGACGGGGGTATATATCAGATGTTACTGTTTCTGTACATGAACAATTATGTCCCTTGTCCTGGAAGTGTTTAAGAATGTCATGAACAGACTGTAATTTCTTCAGCAGTGTTTCTGAATATTTGGCAATGTCATTCTCCAATTTCAAAGTGATATCACACAAAGATTCAACTGGAAAATAGATTTTTACACTTTTTATAGATATAACCTTATTCTAATCACGGATGTCTTTTATATTTGTTAGGAACAAACAATTGAAAAATCGTCTTCCTTTTGAAGGAGTAATGGGTCAATAATGGATCAAGGTCATTAATGCTAAAATAACTTTTACACTTTTGCTCATACAGCCTTTTTACAAGATATTTTGTAGGATGATATATTGCACGGTCTTCTTCATTTGGATTTAGTTAGGTGTCAGTGAGTCAAGATCAGGCGTGCCAATATAGATAGATTTCTACATATTTGCTTATACAGCCTTTATCTATAGATTAATGTTTTTCATTACTTTTTTTACCAGTGTCTCATATTAACAAAAAACATACCTAAAGTGGTCCTTCAATTGGAATCACAGATCTTGCATTTATGTATTTGTCAAATTATTGTGCAATGACTTGCCAATTTATCACAGAAAGCCTTTTACGCTGGTTATTTCATCTCGTAGTTAACCGACATGATTTTGGTCATTCAACGTTTGGTCAATAAGAGTAGCTTTCACTATTTTCACTTCGCTTTGTATATCGCGCAACAAGTCAACGATGTAATTACTGTTCATAACACACTGTGTTATAGCCAGTACCGAAATATCAGATCTACCATTAGTGCCATCAGTGTAAAGATTGTCACAGTCTGATTTAGAAATCAGTTGAATTTTTACACTCTTAAGACAACTTTAAGCATTGGCTTGCTTCTGACTTCCACTTTTTATTATTTAGATTCTTTAAAAGTCTTATGTTGCATTTTAATTCCCTACGGACAAGTTCCTTTTGATACAATCGAGAACATCGTAAAGATCATGGACTGTTTAAAAAATTATTCGTTACCGATATATTATGAATAATATTTATTTTAAAAATTTCCGTTGATATGGAGTGTTATTGATTTCTTTTCCATTTTAACATATACACATGTATAATTAAACGCAATTATGGCAAAATGTCAAACTATTTTAATTTTACCTGATCACTGACAATTAACAATTGAACGGGCATAATCTCACTTCTTTGTTTCAATCTTGACTATTTCGATTAACATATATTTTCGATATATTCTGACAGTCCTCAATAATTGAGTCTTTTTTAATTTATCCACGGTTGTAATATCAAACTTTCCTGTTCATTTAGCAGTAAATATAATTTTCTGCATCATGATCATGCGTTTGTAACAAAGTTTGTAAATGGTAAATTTCATCGGAAAAAAAGAAATGGTGTGGATTACTTTTTGTGCGAATATAAGATGATTATTAACTGAGGCAGTGGAGTGAAATAACTAAATAAATAATTCTGTCAGTGCATGTTTCCGTCAGAGAAAAACAAGTTTCTTTTATATACAAATAAAGGAAATTTGTTACGCAAAACTTCTTTATCAAAGGCTATTTCCTATAACCTGGTGAAGGAAGGCAATTTTAAATTAATTACAAAACTCTTTTACAAATGATTTCCCTTCAAAAGAATGTGATTGAAATATACAAAAACCAGAATGTCAACTTTTTTGAAGAGATGATATTTTTCAATATTATCAGTAATGAAAATCACAAACGATCGCGTTTCAGCATGTGTTAGGGAATAAAAGTTCAGTTTGTAGTTCAAATAGATCTATGTAATGGAAATAATAAACACAAAGGATTATCTCATTTTGTACGTTTATTCGTTCCTTAAATTTATTTAATAGAATGTTCACAGGGAAAATTATGTGACGATGAATGCATTCTAACCAACTATGTGTGTAGCAGTATTCCTAAAACAAACAAAATGGAACTTCATTTAATTGTAACAGCTAAAAGAAAAGAAAGTAAAGTATCTATAAATTCTCTTTTTAGGATCTGAAATGTATACGCCTATATATAACAAAATGATTTTTAATAAGTATTGGTTTATCTATGTGTGCTCATACTTTAAATATTAGACGGAAAGGAAATAATGTAATGTTAACTTTATAAAAGATAGCTTTCAAGGCGGATACAATTGAAGAAAACATTTGGTCGTAAAGCTATTCATAAATCAACATATTTAAGGAGATCATTTGATACCATTGATACAATAAAATATAAAAAAGTTAGACATGGCTTTGTTGTGTCTGTTCATTAGAGGTAGTAGAAGTGCAAGTACAAATAACTATGTATTTTGTAAGTTATTCTCACTTTTTCTCACATACGTATTGCAGCACATCCCAATTACAATACTCGTCACTCCAACTATAATCAAAATATTTTATTGATGCTAAGCAAAATTCTCTGTTGTTTACGTTGTTTGGCTGTTGAGGTGAAGTACCCCATGGTGCGTATGTCAATGGCTTATTTGTTGGTTCCCATATCCAATTTCCATCATTGTTAAAATTGACTCCGCCAAGCCAGAAACCACTGTCGACGTCGGTGTCTAAAAATATAAAGTATAAGATGGATTTCCATGAAATAATCTATAATTCCTAAATTATGTTAAATGTATGGTTAAATAAAGTTTGATTTTAGTCATAAGAGTAAACAAAATTTGACTGACTTTTTGCATCATATTTCTTTTTTTTTATAATATTGCAGGCATATGTTATCTTTTTATGTATTTGTTACAACATAACATGTCTTTTATCACGAATAAACTAAAGCTTATAATTTTTAGACAATTTATCTACTCACGATTAAATGTTAATGCTTGTTTGCGAACCCATGTTTGTTCTTCGGTTGTCTCTATGACAACAAGATCACTATTATGCCATTGACACATTTTCTGAAATGAATTTTTAAAACAGTCATGCCAAATGCTATAAATGAACAGTGAATTTGTAATCTACATTTTGTACTTAAACCTTGTATTCAACTTAAAAAGTATTATGATGTTAATAAATGACTATGCTATGATCTACTTCCATGAAAGGAAATGTTTATATCGTACATTATAAGAATTAAGGAGCATTAATGATTTACATATAAATAAAATACAATGTATAAGAAAAACGCTAAATAAACGGACTATCCATTATTTCTATTTGCATGAAGTAATTTACATTTTATTTGAAAAAAAATCTGAATTTCATTTGACATTCCTCTAGTCTATATTGGCTGTTGCAAAAAAAAAAACAAATGACTAGACATCAAAAAGGCAAATACAGTTTCATATTTAATGAAGCAGTATATAACCGGTTGGCTGATAAATCGATAAACTTACAATCGTTTATACTTGGTCATATAGCATGGTTGTCAATAATCTTTTTTCTTTAAACTTATATTATGGTGTTAATAACTTTGATGATATTCTGTTAAATATTTAATCGCAGTTTCAAATAAGTAACTATACGTTAACATTTAGATTTACCCTTGCTTCAACCCATGGTTGCTTTTCTGTTGTGAATCGGTAGCAATGGCCGCCAAAATGCCTCCAACCACTTTCACATGCACTATACACTGTAAGTCAACAAATAAATAAATAATAAAATATGACGGAATCATCTCATTTCATTTTACCTGTCCAAAGTTAATAAGCAATTATAGTCTTTAATGTAGATAAATTATATATAGCGTGTATATTAAAATGAGGGTCTTAATTAAACATCCTTTTTCATAACATTATACCATGCCAGTACTTTAACTAACATACCGAGTGTAGGTAAGTTTCATTGGGCATATTTTCTCCCTTCTTTGTACAAAACGTTATATTCAAGATCATATACTTTTGTTTTATATGAATGTTTAAACTTAGAAAATTGATTGATGATTTGCTATTAAAACAAACAATGTATGCTCACATTTTATAAATATATAAATAGTATTTAAAATGACTCACCGGTACCAAGAAGGGCTGAGGCAAAGATAAGAGTCTGAATTTTAGACATGCTTTTGTTGTGTTAATATTTATCATAATTTTCTTTGTAATCCACTGCTTATTTATACAACTGTCATGCACTAAATTGTGTTCTAAAATTTAAACATCTGATAAGTTATCTGCTGTATATAGTAAACGCCATCTTTTCCAAACCAAACATTTCACCTTTCCTGTTTAAGATTTATACGAGGACAGAAATACGGACTGTTGAAAGATAGCAACACATATGACATGGTACATCTTATATCTTTCTACAATATTTGAAAGCCGGTGTTAGTTCACTGTGCAAGTAATAACAACGCTTCCCTAATCTTTTATTAGATACCGGCGATGATTTGTTCATTTGGAGCACTTGGCTCAAGTTTATACAATTATGTTTTATTTGTAACAAATACCTAAATCTTAAAAGACTGTCCAATTCAGCTTATGGTGACTTACAGAAAAGAAGATGAATGTTTTTATGTTTGTTTGTTGTTGTTGTTGTTTTGGGGGTTTGTTTTGTTTTTATTTTTTAGTGTGTGTGTGTTTTTGTTTCTTCAAATTTCAATATTAGGTAATTCGAAGTATCTACCATATATTGAATTTAATTTTTATTCTGACTTAATAGAATATATCACACGTGCTTTTAATAATAAGTCTATCCATCAAGTTACGAAAATGTTTGGTTGTTTTTTATTGTTGCTGTTATAATTGTCATGATTGTATATAAATTCGTTAGTTATGTTTTGCATGTAAATTACATGTTATAAAGACTACAAGATCAAATGTGACAATTCATTTGTTATTGGTGAACTACTATGTTAACTGAATTACACAGTTTTACATTAACTTTTTATTTTTACTCCAAGAAGATGCACGTGTTATATTTTCATATTCGTTACAATTTCAGTTCAATTATTAAAGCATATGCATCTCTTTACAAAGAACATGTTCTGACATTTTTATTTGGTACTTCCCATACTTCGCCTTAATCTACTTTATAAAAGTAGTATCTGTTTAAATTGATTTTTCTCAAAATTCATTTTGTTTTACTTGTAAATATATTTTAACTTGGAGACATTTTCAAGAAATTCACAGGGACAAAAGAAAGTGTTAACAATGATGGTCTTGCTGATAAGCCTTTGTTAAAAATAATAATAATAATATATAAAAAAAACAGAAATTAGCACAATTCAGTCTTAACCATGTTTTTAGAATTGATAATATCCATTGCCTTTCATACATGTACATGAAAGAAAACTGTGTACGTGTTCAAGATATACAAACTTATTAAAATCGGGTGAATCAGCTTTTAGAATTCCAAAATGTTATGAAAAAGATAATAAAACCTCCTTTTGTAGTACATGAAATGAATAGAGTGTGCATTTAAAAAGCTATGTGAAAGCCCACATACTAATATTATAAAGCTAGGAAAAGGTAGTTGACTGTGCCACTTTGCCTAAATATTAGTTCTGAAGCGCGGGATGTTACTGAAATACCATGAATCCAATAATATTTAGAAGCAGTTCTTATAACAAATTATATGATTAAGCTAGACTTACCTGTAAGGTGAAGGTTAATCATGATTTCATCCACATAAAACTTACTAAGGGCTCACACAGAGAGAAGACGCAGCTATCAGCAGCCAGTGGTCATATTTTAGAGTAATTAATGTCGAATAATAGCGAAAAAATATCAGTTTAAATAGGGCGGTAGCGGGTTGGGTGTGTGAGCCCTTAGTGAGTTTTATGTGGATGAAATCATGATTAACCTTCACATAACAGGTACGTCTAGCTTAATCATATAATTTCATCCTACATATAAACTCACTAACGGGCCCCACAGAGATTTTAGAGTCCTTTTTGCGATCTTTTGGAATGGACATAACGTGCCGTCCTATGCCATAGTAAATATTCATCTTTCATATTATTATTAAATTTCAAGACATAAAGGTCTTTTTGTATTTTGCAATTTGGTAAAAACACATGTTTTTCATAATTTTACTGAATGTAAATGCCATGCACAACTATATAGAAAGTAATTAAATACAACTACAGTTTGTTTGTTGTTTTTTTTTGTTGTTTTTTTGTCACAACGTCATGAGCGTTAACGTCAAACATACTAAAATATTTTTCAAAGTATTTGCAGCTGTATGCAATATGAGGCAGATAATTATTTTCTTATACTATTAGGAGTCATTTTGTCGGAAATTATGGATGCCATTCACCGTAAGTGTGCTAACAACTCAAACCAATGACTATTGAACTGTTGCTCGACTTGATTGTGGGGATGGGGATAAAAAAAATGTTTGCATCTTAAAGTTGAAGGTATAAAATAAATAAAAAAGATACTTGTTTCGGATTTCTTTTGTCATATAACGAGGGATAATCCAAAATAACGTAGTCTTTTACTGCTGCTTAGAAACAGTTGGTTAAAATTTAGTAAATCATATATTGAAATTAATTTAATTAAACATTTAATTATCATAATAAGATAGAAAAATAATATTTCAAGTAAAACTGCAAGCGCGCCGTGCAATTCTGTGACCATAGTTACCCGTTTGCAGAGTATGCCGATTTGGCTACACATGCTACATGAGATTCCATTCAATAACAAATAACTTAAGAAAAGCGCCACACAAAGCCCCAATGCAGATTATTATGCGGATGCTTTTATGTCATAATTTGACGTAATCTGAACGTTGCAAATAAAGATAACAACATTCATAGTACTGTTTAACAGTGTGTGTTTCTTGCTTGGAAATGGCGTTGCAGACTGGCGGAAATTCGTGAAATTATTCAGTTCTGTCCATGTCTCGTAAGATATTAAAATAAACGCTAAACGTGTTTGATTCAACCAAAAGGAAATATCCGGTGAACAGGAAACATAGGTCGTGTTAAAAAGACAAATTATGACACAACAAAGTATGCACGGCACCGACGACTGACGATCAGAGAACTGGCGTTAATACATTACTTTTAATACCAACAAGCAATTTGAAAGCTGAAAGTCAAAGGTAATTCTGATATACCGTACATGTAATAAAACTGATGTATGTTTACGATAATTTCAAATATCACTTTTGTAGTGAAATCTAGATAAACGGTGTACTGATTGTGAATTATTTTTAATGAAATTTTAAGTTTCGTATTATGAAACGCTTCAGATATTAAACAAAACTTACACGTTTTCTATAAAATAAATATCATGTATTCAACAAAGTTATATCAATTGGTTTATACAAATTTTATTTTAGTTCGATTGTGTAGGAAGCTATAAGCTTATAAAAATACACTTTCGAATCCGTTCCTGGAACCAACCAGGACTGAGCAATGAGTGTAAAGTTCATTGAGCAATTTTATCAATTAGACCGTATTCTCCTGAAATGATTCCGGGTTATTTTACAATATGTCCATCCATGAAGAAACACATAACGAAAATAAGGGTCTGATTCCTTAACGCGATAATTAATTATCTCGTGAAAATTAAGACGATAATTATCGAGACGAAGTTGTTAAAGGTTGCTAGTATAAGTGTCCCTAGTCGATAGAAAAGGCGATAATTACCGCTTGATAGACCAACGAAAAAATTTAAGACATGCGAAATTTAGTACTACTAAATTTCGCCCTTAACAAGCGACAATTAACGCGTGTTTACTAGCGAAATTGTGTGGCAAAATAGTATTATTAAATTTATATACATTGTATGCTCTCTAGTACCCAATCGCCCTTCCATGGGCAATCCGAAGTTAGCTCTTACATAATTTCATGTTCTATACGTCTATCTAGTCAAACACTTATTAGATATTTGTTAAGTCATTTTAAAGCTGTACAGTAGATTTTGTGTTTTGGAATGAACATTCCGTGATACAGATATTTGTGACAAACTACCAACGTACTTTTAGACAAAGATAAATATTTCCATTATTAAAGACGTTTTCGAGAGTTTTCATTTAGACATATAGGCAAAATTAAACTGTTCAATAGAATTTCTTTAAACTTGGCATGTTGTAAAAAAGAGAAAGGTGACCCCAATTTTTTTTCGCTTTAAATGTTTCTGTTTTAATATTCTGACAAAATGCCAAGTTTAAAGAAATTATATTGAACAGTTTTAATTTTGCCTATATGTCTATATGAAAACTCCCGAAAACGTCCTTAAAGAAATGTGTAACTGTTTTTATTTTGTAAAACTTATGTGTGTTTTAAACTGAATTTAAAAAGAAAATCAATCATAAGACGGCACAATATGTTATCCTCAACATTCACATAATTTTCATGCGTTTTCAATTTTCTTTGAAGACAGAAATGTTTTGTGTAATTATTTTAGCATATAAACTCCTTTGATGCTCATAATTATAAAGTTATTTTTTTATTTCCTTATTTCGTATTGACAACGTTGAGCGTATAATCGCCAAAATACATAGATAATTTGTAAAAACTATCATGCTAAAGTCTGGCCTTAAAACTTTGTTATTTTCTGTTTCTGATTCTTGACAAAATTGTAACATGCTATGTGCCCTTCTTTAATGAAAATTCAGTATCGTTTCGCTTAAACATGAGTATAACTGTACAGGATTTTTAAGGGAAAGGTGCATTTACCCTCATTGGGTATTGATAAGCTGTGTACAATAAATGAACAAATGACTTTAGGGTTTAGAACGATTACAGATTGGAAATCTGTCATTAGACGTCTTTTTGTTGCATATCATAATCGAGTGGAGGACGACTTTTAGTTACAAAAAACTGATCTCTTTATTTTTATATATTTATTTCTTAATTAATCTTAATATTTGTGTGGGATATCTACTAAGTACAGTAGGGAGTACTAAGTACAGTAGGGAGAAAAAAGAAAACATTTTGTTTTGAATTCATTATGACATGTGCGCTGCATCAGACAAATCGATTTGGTGTACCTCAAACTACAAGCATTTCTTCTGTTTATTTCTGATAATTCTAAAATAACCTTTTCATCTAGTCAAATTCCAAATATTTACAGCAATGAAGAACGTCAAGAAAAATTATTTTAGCTAGTATTTATTCAAATTTAACTATATACGTACAATTTAAAAGCATTTTATAATGATATATCATAATATTTTCAACCAACTATTGTCGTTCCAGTGTCCCTGAAATAAA